GATTTTTTTTAACTTCAAAAATGGCAATTTTGGCCAGGCGCAGTAGCTCACACCTGTAATTCCAGCACTTTGGGCAGCCAAAATGGATGGATCACTTGAGCCCAAGAGTTTGAGCCTGGCCAACATAGCAGAACCTTGTCTCTACAAAAAACATAAAATTTAGCTGTGTTTGTGGTGTGCACCTGTAGTCCCAGCTATTCTGGAGGCTGAGTAGGAGGATCCTTGCTCCAGGGAGGTAGAAGCTACAGTGAACTGAGATCACGCCACTGCACTCCATTCTGGGTGACAGAGTGAGACCCTGTCTCAAAAAAAAAAAAAAAAAAAGTCTGGGCACAGTGGCTCACACCTGTAATTCCAGCACTTTGGGAGGCCGAGGTGGGCAGATCATGAGGTCAGGAGTTCGAGACCAGCCTGGCCAACATGGCGAAACCCCGTCTCTACTGAAAATACAAAAATTATCTGGGTGTGGTGGTGCATGCCTACAGCCCCAACTCCTTGGGAGGCTTAGGCAGGAGAATTGCTTGAACCCGGGAGGTGGAGGTTACAGTGAACCAAGATCGTACCACTGCACTCCAGCCTGGGCGACAGAGCAAGACGCAGTCTCATTAAAAAAAAAAGAAAAAGAAAAGAAAAGAAAAGAAAAAAGAAACCAGTAACAGTAGTTACAACCGGCGATGGAACTAAGCAGATGGCAGGATCAGTGGTGAAGAGACTTATTTTATATCCTTTTTACCTTTTGAATTCATATCCCAAGCATGTATTAACTATTCAAAAATTAATTTTAACATGCTGAAGAAGTAGGCAATGGACTGATACCATCAAAACTTTAAAGGAAAATTATTTTCAACCTTGAATTCTTTTTGAGCCAAATATTCAATTATATGTGTCCATAAATGCTTAGGAAAAACATTAAAGCACCAAACCATTAGTTGTGGATGGGTTAACGCTGAACAATGTAATTAATCAGAATTGGAGGGTGGGGGAGTGAAATTTTCTGAAAATTTCACTTTTCACTTTGTGTGTTTCTGTATGTTTTGAAATTTTACCATGAGAATTTAATACTTTTGTGTAGCCAACATGTAGCTGAGCCCCAAGGGCAGGAGCTATACTCTTCTTGTCTCAATCTTGGAACCAAATCTCCAAAAGAAAACAGACTCTTCCACACACTATTAAAAAATAGATATTTTTTAAATGTAGAATTTGAATGTAGAATTTCTACAGTCTAGGTTTTCTATAAGGAACAAAGGGCATAGTCTACATTGTATAGTGCACAGTATTTACTCCGAATAATCTTATTAAAAGTATCTTTTCTCCCCAAACAACTCTCCCTGCTGCCCTTTGGGTTGCTGTCTTAATCTTTCCCATGCAGACTTTGGCCTTGTTTGGCTCGGCCTTCTCTACCCAGTACAGAGACTTTGGTCATCTTTGTCTCTCCCTTCCTGAAGCAGAGTTTTCTCCACCCCACCTCTCCTGCATTCCTACACTTATCACTGAACCCTGTCCTCATGTGCGGGAGAGGCAATTGTTATGAGGAAGTTACAAGAAAGATTTTGCACTTAGAAAAAAAGAGGAAAAAAAAATCCTCTTATTACTAGGAACTGCCTCCTGAGGAGGAAGGAAGGAAAATTTTTTTCTATCATCAATAATTTTTAAAGGGTAGCATTTACAATTTAAGAAAATTAAATCTTTAAAAATAAAGTATTTTCACTGACATTTTCCTAATCATGAAACTTTATTTTCAACACTAAGGATTTTTACAATACTCTTTCTTTTCTTTCTTTCTTTCTTTCTTTCTTTCTTTCTTTCTTTCTTTCTTTCTTTCTTTTTCTTTCTTTTTCTTTCTTTCCTTCCTTCCTTCCTTCCTTCTTACTTTCTTTCTCTCCCCTCTTTCCCTTTCTTTCTTTCTTCTTTTCTTTCTTTCTTGAAATGGGATCTCATTATATTGCCCAGGCTGGTCTTGAACCCCTAGCTTCAACTGATCCTCCCACCTCTGCCTCTCAAAGTGCTGGGATTACGGGCATTAGCCACAAAATCCAGCTGAGGATTATTTGTCTCAAGCAGGGTTTCTGGGGTGCTAGGTTTCCTTCTCCTGGGGTCCTAGGCTCTTATAGGAATGGATGAAGTTCAAGGCATTGGGGCATTATTAAAATAATTAGGCTTGACTTTTCAACCCAGGTGCAAAAGGACAAGTATTTCACATTTGAGAGTCTGGGATGTTTATGTCTGCACTTTACAGACCTTCAGAGGGGAATGAGCATTTATGCCCTCCTTCATTCAGGGGTAATTCCTCAACAGCTGCCCTCCATGGTTCCTGTGGCAACAGGAAGAGGGTAGGGTCACCCTCTCCTCACACTGGGAGGAGAGCTGGGCCTTAAGTGTCAGCTGAAAGCTCCACCCATGCCATCCCCAAGCCAAGCTGTCTTTTCAGCCTGGGAAAGGTAGAGGAGAGGCTTTTCTTCTCATGGGTAGTGATTTCACCCCAGATAGCTCCTGCACCAGTTAGCTCCTCAACAGGGCACACCCAAGAACTGGTCATTCCAGATTCAACCTCCGGAAAACTCCAGAGACATCTCGATTGAGGACATTCTTACATGTGGAACTTCAAGTCTGCCCAACACTCTCGGACTCAATGTTGTCTATACTTCAAGCACAGTATAATTCTCATCTCCTGTGTTGATCATGGGATGCTTTAAAGGTAATAGATTTTAATACATATACACAAACACTTACGCATTTTCTGAATAAATATATTTTACTTATTTCAGACTTTGAAGATGACATTTCATTACAAAATCATCTTGCAAAAGTTATGCTCAGTAAACTGGTGTCTCTAATGTTCCCAGAAGTGTGTGATTTCAGAATTATATTTTTTCTCCATTTGAAAGGGCATTATTCAGAGTACAATAACCTGCTACTGACTTGAACACTCTTTGAGAGAAAAAGACAGTCTCTCTTCTATCTTTTCCTGTTATGTATGAAAGAATTGCCTGTCTTCCCAGGGCCAAAGGACAAATGCCATAGCATAGCAGTGTGGGATGACTGTGAAAATATTGACATTTAACAATAGGCGCCAACCACAAACTGTGACAACTCAGCAGCTGGCCCAACCCAGGACAGGTTACAGATGCAGCCAAAAGAAGCTGTGCTCAGCTTGTTCCCAGATAAAGAGGTTTTTGCTGTGGGGCAAGTCCTCTGACCCCCACCCCAGGCAACTAGATGACAGCACTGACTTATTCGTGACTTACTAACAACCAGAGAGAATCGCTCATATACAGGGAGATGGGCTGTCCTCTGTAACCTGCCCTTTTCTCTACTCATACAACTTCCCCATGACCGCTAGTGTGGAGGACATCTGCTTTCACAGGAAACTGAATGATGCCTAGCTAAGAGCTCATAGACATCAATCTACTGCCATTGCCTCCTGGTCTCTTCTACTTTCCCTGAGGTACCTTGACTTCAAGGTAATCTACCAAGTCAAGTAAAATTTGCCTGTTTCTCAAATGCTCTCCTTCCCCCATTCCCCATTTTCTGATATTTCCATGTATCATCATCAGTTAGGGTCAAATCAGGAAAACATAACTCATACCAAGTAAGGGGAACTAATTAAATAGGTATTGGAAAATCAAACGGGATGATTAGCAAGAGCAGGGAGCTGCTACCACCCCTAGGATGAGGAAGGAGAGAGAATACTTGAAAAATAGAAGATTCTTAAGAATGGATGGAAAGGAAAATAGGGTCCTAGGTATAAATGGAGAGATTGGCCTTAGGTGGAAAGAGACAGATCCTGTGTGAAAACAGGAGGGAATAAGAGAAGATATATATAGAAACAGCAGTTTTAAGGTCCAATAATTTTGCTAAATCCTTTTGATCAATGTTAAATGAATTTTACTTAATATAGCTTTCTCTGTTGATGCTTTTTTTTTAAAAGACAGCATCTCGGCCGGGCGCGGTGGCTCATGCCTGTAATCCCAGCACTTTGGGAGGCCAAGGCGGGCAGATCACAAGGTCAGGAGATCAAGACCATCCTGGCTAACACAGTGAAACCCCGTCTCCACTAAAAATACAAAAAAATTAGCCGGTCATGGTGGCGGGCACCTGTAGTCCCAGTTACTCGGGAGGCTGAGGGAGGAGAATGGCGTGAACCCGGGAGGTGGAGCTTGCAGTGAGCTGAGATTGTGCCACTGCACTCCAGCCTGGGCGACAGAGCAAGACTCTGTCTCACAAAAAAAAAAAAAAAAAAAAAGACAGCATCTCATTCTGTTGCCCAGGCTGGAGTGCAGTAACATGATCTTGGCTCACTGCAGCCTTGAATTTTGAGGTCAGGTGATCCTCCCACTTCAGACTCCCGAGTAGCTGGGACTATAGGTGAGCACCACCATGCCCAGCCAACTTTTTAATTTTTTGTAGAGACTGGGTCTCTACAAGCCCAGGCTGGTCTTGAACTTCTGGGCTCAAGTGATCCTCCCACCTCGGCCTCTCAAAGTGCTGGGATTATAGGCATGAGCCACTGTACCTGCCCCATATAGAGTTCTTAACTGCTTCCTTCAGAACCTTTAGCATACTAACATATATTGGAAATCACTCAGAGTCTTCCCAATCATAACTGACCACAGAATACCTTTTCATGAATCATCTAGGAGTTGTGTGTTCTGGAAGACATTCCTTGAAAAACACTGACTTACCCAATATATGCCTGGACCTTCCTAGCTATTAAATGGAGACAATAACATCTTATCCGACTATAATTACTTCATTGTGATGTTGTAAACATGAGTTTGAAAAACGTATACGTTTCATTAATAGGTTCTTAGTGTAGAGATTTAAGTAGGGAAAGGCTTATAGTCTAGGTGGTCATCTAGAACAGACTGTTATCCAGGAAACCTTCAAGGGTGGCATTTAATTACCTTCTGAATTTACCAAAGCTTGCAGACTCAGAAACTGTTTCCTCAAAACACTGACAGCAGACATGTCTCAGAAGCAAGCACACATGGACCAGCATCTCCAGATAGAGACGTAAACTAAAATTTATTAATTTACAACAATGAGAGCTACCTCTGTCACATTATTTATGAAAGCCTTACTCATACATTCAAGAGTATTTATTGATTGTCCATTACATGCTGGGCCATGAAATGGGTATAAGATGCAAGCAGCACTAATCAGTGTCCTCCAGGGATGCAATACACAGATCTCTTCCTGCTGGCATTCCCCTCCCATCACCCCCCAGGATCAAATCAGTGATGGAGCAGAGAAGTGAGGACCTGACCTGAGCTGGCTGAGCTGCATGATAGCATGTGACTCAGGCTGCTGGGGAGATTAAAGGTATTGTAAAGTTCTGTCTGCAGTAAGACAGGAAAAGGTAAATATGTCAAAAAAGTTGTGACAAACTGGCTTGGGAACTGAATGGAGAGAGAGTCTGGTTGACCTTGAGTCCAGAGTTCAAGTCTCTGAGGCCCTAGATTCTTGGGCTCTTCCTTCCACCCTCTAAACTAGCCCAGGATCCTTCCCAGTTATCTGAATCAAAAAAAAATCTCTTTCTGCGTAAGCTGGTTTTACTCAGGTTTCTGTCGTTCGTAACTGACCAAGTCCCGACATCTATACCTGGTATGCAACTCGTTTGGATCAGGCAAATTTGAAGTCATTTAGAGCAGCTGGTATTTCGTCATGATGCATGAACCTCAACAGAGAAGACAAAAGAGACAGATTAGGCAAGGAGGCTTTTAAGTCTAATATCTGCAAAATCTGAGAAAAAGGACTAAAGAATGACATTTTCCTTTGTGGCTTTATAAAGCACAGTGTTGCCCCTTAACAAATAAGAAAAATAAGGCCGGGTACATGGGCTCACGCCTGTAATCCCAGCACCTTTGGAGGCCGAGGCGGGTGGATCACCTGAGGTCAGGAGTTCAAGACCAGCCTGGTCAACATGGTGAAACCCCGTCTCTACTAAAAAATACAAAAATTAGCTGGGCATGGTGGCAGGAGCCCATAATCCCAGCTACATGAGAGGCTGAGTCAGGGAAAATTGCATGAACCCGGGAGGCAGAGGTTGCAGTGAGCCGAGATCATGCCACTGCACTCCAGACTGGGTGACAGAGCGAGACACCATTTCAAAAATAAAACAAAACAAACCAGAAGGATAGAATTGCGCCAGTCTTTTAAATGCTTGATTGCAGAACCAATCAGTACCAGCCTGCCAGCCTGTTTCCTCAATGTCTGTCCACACCTGGGTTTACCATGTCCTCAGCTGTGCCTCAGCCTCCCACCCCAGGTCCAATCATAGCCTGTTAAGAAAGCATTTGACTAGCTCTTACCTCACAAGCTATGTATCAGCATGGATTACTCTATTCTGGTTGCAGTGACCCAGTTCTGATCATTAAGCTCTAGTTTCAACAGGATCACATCCAGCATCGCCATGTGTTCCAATTACTTGGCTTCTGCCTTCTCTTTATTTCTAAATTCTTATTCTCGTACTCTGCCTAGTACCTCATTATGCCTCCTCCTTTGTGGACTATAGATTTGCTCCTTCCCTCAGGCCAGGGGCCAGCATCTAGCCATCCTCTTTCCAATCTCCCTGGATTGTGCTCATCCTGAAGTCCTATCTTTCCACCATGCTTATTTATTTATTATTATTTTGATATGGAGTCTTACTGTGTCGCCCAGGGTAGAGTGCAGTGGCATGTTCTCAGCTCACTGCAACCTCCGCCTCCTGGGTTCAAGCAATTCTGCTGCCTCAGCCTCCCTAGCAGCTGGGATTATAGGCACACATTACCACACCTGGATAAATTTTGTATTTTTAGTAGAGGCAGGGTTTCACCCTATTGGCCAGGCTGGTCTTGGACTCCTGACCTCATGATTTGCCCACCTCAGCATCCCAAAGGGATTACGATCGTGAGCCACCATGCCCAGCTTACCATGCTTATTTTTAACAGTTTCAGGAGGCTCAATTAATGACCTTCTACTTTCAAGTTCTGAACCAATTGAGAGAAAAACACAGAAGTCAAACAGACGGCGAACAAAAGAGCAGTTTTAGAACTGATAAGAATTATATGGAAGGCCAGGCGCAGTGGCTCACACCTGTAATCCCAGCACTTTGGGAGGCTTAGGTGGGAGAATCACTTGGGCTCAGGAGTTCAAGACCAGCCTGGGCAACATAATGAAACCCCATCTCTACAAAAAATACAAAAATCAGCCAGGCATGGGGGCGCACACCTGTAATCCCAGCTACTTGGGGGCTGATGCAGGAGGATCACTTGAACCTGGGAGATCAAGGCTGCAGTGAGCCGAGATCGTACCGCTGCACACCAGGCTGGGTAACAAAGTGAGACCCTGTCTCAAAAAAATAAAAATTAAAAAATAAGTTAGAGTGATATGGGAGTAAGTAGCTTGTTGTATGGTCCATATATTTGCTAGTAATCTTCACTCCAGATTTAAACTAACCATGCAGAAGATGTGGAGGCAGAGTGTGCTGCCCCAGTCTCTGTGCCCTGATCATGGTCCTCGGGGTTAGGCTAAGCAGCAGGCTACCAGCACTATGTCCAAATCACCCAGCCCCCAGTGACAACTGCTCTTGTAGACTTCATCTAATGCCTTAGTTGGGTACCCCCAGAAGCAGATGCTGAGAGTGCAAGGAGTTCATTTGAGAGACAAAGAAACACCAATAGGAGGGGAAGTGAGAAAGTATAGGAAAGGTAGCCAAATAAAGGAGGCATGGGCATTACCCAGTCAATTACCATGAGGACAAATGGAGCTCAATCATGATGGGAAACTCTGGGAGCCAGTGTCGACTTGTGCACAGGTATCCCACCCAAGGAACGACGAGCTTTGGTATTTACACACTAATTTCCATTAATCATTAGCTGAAGTCTACTGGGAGTTGTGGGGAGGAACAGTAATTCCTGGACATCTGCAGCTTGCCACACAGGTGAGCAAAGTGGGCTTCAGTGACCAGAGAACAGCCCTTAGCCAAAGGTGCAGGTGCCAGCAGTTGGAAGTTGGGCTGGTGTGCCCTGAGGGGTGATGTGGGTTAGCCTCTGGATTCTATCTTTGACCTCAAGGAGAAGAATCTGAATGAGAAGCTCCTCTACTTCCTGCTCAGGGGCGACTATGACTTAGGCTCATAGTTACTTCTCCTGCACCCCCAAGCCCCTCCTGCTTACCCCCCAGGACCAAACCAGTGATGGAACAGGGCAATGAGGACCTGACCTGAGCTGAACCAGCAGCTAGTGCTCTGGTAGCAGCTACTGGGAGGACATGGCTAGGAAATCTGAGGACTTCCCTCCAGGCAAGAAGAAACCCCTGATCAAAGAACTGAGAAGGAAGGTAAAGATGAGGCATTTCCCATAGTAAGTTGTGAAGCAAAAAGAAATATTTCTAAAGTAGGAATAATAGGCAGGGCGCAGTGACTCAAGCCTGTAATCCCAGCACTTTGGAAGCCAAAGTGGGAGGATCACTTGAACCCAGGGGTTCAAGACCAGCCTGGGCAACAAAGCGAGACCCCATCTCTACAAAAAATTAAAAAATTAGATGGCTGTGATGGCGCAAACTTGTAGTCCCAGCCACTTGGAAGGCTGAGGCAAGAGGATCACTTGAGCCCAGGAGGTCAAGGTTGCACCTATGATCATACCACTGCACTCTAGCCTGGGCAACAGAGCAAGACCCTGTCTCAAAAATAATAATAATAGTAAAATAAAAATAAATACTATTGATAGCACAATAAGGTGATTATAGTCAATAATAACTTAATTGTATATTTTAAGAATATAATTGGATTGTTTGTAACTCAAAGGATAAAGGCTTGAGGGGATGGATACCCCATTCCCCATGATGTGCTTATTTCACATCACATGCCAGTATCAGAACATCTCATGTACCCCACAAATATATACAGCTACTATGTACCCACAAAAATTTTTTAAAGTCATAAAAAATAAATAAAATTAAAGTAGTAATATCAAAAAACAAATTGTGGCCAACCACGTAAGAGGAAAGACTGAATTATCTTCCATTCTCTTTCTAGAAGATGGCATTACAAAGTTGGTGTCATATGAAAAGATAACCAAAGAGTAGACAGACATAAAACATACGAAAACATACTATAGAAGTGAGATAGGCAGGGTGGTTGGATTTCAAATCGTGCCAGATTACAGGCCGGGTGCAGTGGCTCATGCCTGTAATCCCAGCCCTTTGGGAGGCCAAGGCGGGTAGATCACTTGAGTCCAGGAGTTTGAGACCTCTCTGGGCAACATGTTGAGACCCCCTCTCTACAAAAAATACAAAAAATTAGCCTGGTGTGGTGGTACGTGTCTGTGGTTCTAGCTACTTGGGAGGCTGAGGCAGGAGAATCACTTGAGCCTGGGATAGGGAGGTTGCAGTGACCTGAGATTGCACTACTGCACTCCAGTCTGGGCGACAGAGTAAGACCTTGACTCAAAAAAAAAAAAAAAAAAAAGTGAGATGAACATAGTGAAAAAGTGAAAACATATACCCTCTTCTTTCTTTCTTGTAGGACACAGTGGCTGGATGAGACAGTTCCAGCAGCAGCTTCAAGTTCTGTCCAGAGTCAGACCTCTGTCCCCACCAGTTCTCTTTGACATTCAGGCACTTTTTTTCTAGTTCTTACTCATTGCGCCAGGTCCCTTTCTCCCTTTGAGTCTGCTCTCTGAGCCTCCATTTTCCCCCCTGCAATCTGAGGATCACTGGAGTGACCCGCCTATCAGATATGTTTATATAGTTGGTATGTGTCTGAACTCTACGGATTGTTAGGAAATAAAGGTGCTCCTTAGGAGCAGTCTCGGGAGATTCTAAATTCCCAATGTGGATTAGCAAAAAAGGAGTGTTACCTAACCTCTCCGCCAATAGCATTGCATGCAGCTCATGTCTGCTTACATACCATCGGTAGTACTCACAATTGGTACTCTCTCCAGATACCTTTAACTGATGGTGAGTTTCGGGCTCCTATGATTGATGTGGCTGATTACTTTACCTATGAGTTTCTGTGGTCATTGAGCACTTGGCATGTGACTAAAGAACTGAGCTGTAAATTTTAACTCCTTTTAATTAATTTAAACTTAAATAGCTACATGTGGCTAATGGCTACCATACTGAACAATACAGCTCCAGAACCGTCCATGGATCAGGCCAAAGCTAGACTTCACATGCAACCACATCCTTGCTCATCTCTTCCCTTTTTCCTTTTCTATTTCACCTCCTGCTTTACCAATCTCCTGAGAGCATGACCTCAATAAATCATGTGCACTCAAATCCCTATCTCAGACTCAGCTTCCAGGGAACCCACCTGAGACACTGTTATAATTATTTAACAGTGAATTACAGAAAGCTTAAACCCTGAATCAAAAGTGCACATGCAAATTCAATGCCAGTCAGAATGTTTTTAGCAGAAGGTATAAAAGAGTCCCAAGCCCATCTGGCTTAAACAAGGAAATGTGTTATTCTACACCTACAAGTCCAAGAATAGGACAGCTCCAGGGTTGGGTAATTCCATGGCTCAATGACATTTTCAAGAACCAAGTTCTTTCCATCTTGTTGCTCTGTCATCCTGCTGGGCAGGCTTCATTTGGGGGCTAGCTTTCCCCTTCTTGTTGCAAGGTGACTGCACTAGTGCCAACCTTCATATCTGGATACAACCATATTCAGAATAAGAAAAGACCATATTTTCTTGTATGTCTTTTATTAGGAGCAAGAAGATCTTTCCCAGAAACCCCCTGCAGATTTCTCCCCCATTGTACTGGTCAGAGCTGCATCGCATGGCCTTATCTAAACCGGTCCCTACAATGGGAAATGGGAAGACCATGATTGCCTTTGAACAATCAGGATCTACCCCCTGGGTCTGTGACCATCCTCTCCTGAAGCACATGGTTGAGCAGAGAAGGGTGGGTACCTCAACACAACATAGCATCTGTTGTAGGGGTTGAGGAACTGGATAAAATGAATGGTAACCACAGTATTGGCTGGTCACAGTTTCTCATGCCTGTAATCCCAGCACTTTGGGAGGCTGAGGCGGGCGGATTGCTTGAACCCAGGAGTTCAAGACCATCCTGGGCAACATGGTGAAACCTCATCTCTATTTTATAAAGAAAGAAAATTTAAAAAAAATTTTTTAAAGATAACCACAGTATCAATTACAGGTTTCTTTAGGCCAGCTTCTACAATGTGTTCTTTGAACCACCTACCCAAAGATCATTTAGAGGGCTTGTTAACATGCAGATTATGAGGCCCAAACATTGTCTGATGCATGGCAGGAGCTTAAAAGATACTTGTTGGTGAGATACTTTCTGGGAAGCCAAAAATAAAAATAAAAGAGATTTGTCAGAAGGAAGGAAGGGTGGGAAAGAGAGAGACCTTTTGAGTTAGAATCACCTGGCTGGGAGCAGTGGCTCATGCCTGTAATCCTAGCGCTTTGGGAGGCCACGGTGGGCAGATCCCTTGAGGTCAGGAGTTTGAGACCAGACTGGCCAACATGGTGAAACCAAATCTCTACTAAAAGTACAAAAAATTAGCTGGGTGTGGGTGCACGCCTGTAATCCAGCTACTCAGGAGGCCGATGCAAGAGAATTGCTTGAACCCAGGAGGCGGAGGTTGCAGTGAGCCAATATCATGTCACTGCACTCTAGCCTGAGACTCTGTCTCAAAAAGAAAAAAAAAAAAGGAATCGCCTGCAGATGGTTTTTCTACTCACTAATGCTGGAGAACCACTCACTTAAGTTGAAAATTAAAAATTCACCTTCAGTCCCTTCATTACCAGTCTCTTGGCAGAAGGATAAAGAATGTGATCATGTTGCCACATGTATGCCTCTTTAACACTCTCAGCGATGTCAAGATGACAATGGTGCCTATCAGTTGTACTTAACATACATTATTTACATGGCTTTCAGCTTCACTTGCTGAATCCAGGATTCCTGTTACAGCACCTCATGAAAAATAAATGAATGTGATAATGGATTCCACTTTGTGGACTAATATATTGAAAAACCATCTATGAAGTTTGTGGAAAGCAGCATCTGGGATCATTTTTTTAATGCAATAAAAGATCTTGGAGGTGATTTTGGCATCTGCAAAGCAGCTGTCACCAACAGGAAAGCCTAGCTGTTTATCTTCTGGACTCTAAATGGAGTTTGATAGAATGCTCACTCTCCAGTTAACTCACATCAATTGCCAGGGGAAAGGGAGCTTGAGAAGGGAGGAACTTGTTGCTAGAGAAGTCAGTGATCAGTTGTGTTTCTATTTATTTTTATTTATTTATTTATTTTTCTGTTTTGAGGCAGAGTCTCACTCTGACACCCAGGCTGGAGTACAGGGGTGCCATCTCGTCTCACTGCAACCTCTGCCTCCTGGGTTCAAGTGATCCTCATGCCTTAGCCTCCCAAGTAGCTGGGATTACAGCCATGTGCCAACATGTTCAGCTAATTATTTGTATTTTTAGTATCCTGGGATTCTTTTTTTTTTTTTCAGATGGCGTCCCGCTCTGTCGCCTGGGCTGGAGTGCAACAGCTCAATCTCGGCTCACTGCAACCTCTGCCTCCTGGGTTCAAGCGATTCTCCTGCCTCAGCCTCCTAAGTAGCTGGGATTATAGGTACGTACCACCACGCCCAGCTAAGTTTTGTATTTTCAGCAGAGACGGGGTTTCACCATGTTGGTGGTCAGGCTGGTCTCGAACTCCTGTCCTCGTGATCCACTTGCCTTGGCCTCCCAAAGTGCTGAGATTATAGGCATGAGCCACCATGCCCGGCCTGTGTCATGGGATTCTTGGGGTGTCACTTCACCAGCTGGAAACTTCTGAGGCCAGTGGCTTTTTTTTGCCTGAGTTTTGCTCAGGCCCACTGGGCTCATTCTGGCTGCTCAGCCTAGCAGGCTGTGCTCATTTTGCGCTATTGACCTGGAGCCCACTGCCTGCCAAGGGCAAGCCAGGCATGGAGCAGCAAGGGGTGTGTCAGCAAGTGTAGGGTCTGGCCATTGCACACAACCAGGCACACCAGCTATGGCAGAGTGGGCAGCTCCAGGTGCTGGCATGAGTCCCTGGGAGGCTGCAGCTGGACCAGGCATACTGCAAGCAGCTTCCATGGTTGGCACCAGGGAACACAGTGGTGCCCAGAACCTTGGAGATGCCAGGAACCCCAGAGTTCCAAAGAGAGTGTCACAGCCCTGGCTCAGGAAGCTCCTAGATCTCGGCTCCCCAAAGGGCCACAGCTCTTCTCTCCTTCTCTCTTCTCTCTTTCTTGTCACCTGCAATGTGGCAAGCAAGGGGCATGTTTCAGCCCTGTTTGTGTTACAGCTCTTTCAGCCCTGCCATTCGGCAGGTCCTGAGTTCTTGTCCTGTGTCCAGAAAGAATGAGGTATGCAGACAAGTGGAGGGTGAGCAAGGCAAAGAGGAGCTTTACTGAGTGACAGAACAGCTCAGAGGAGACCTGCATTGGATAGCTCCTCTCCACAGGCAAGATGTCCTCATGAGATTCAGCTCACAGCAGAGAGGAGAACCTGGAGTGGGTAGCTCTTCTCTGTAGCTGGTAGTCCTGACATCTGCTCAGCTCTCAGCAGAGAGGAGACCCTGGGGTGGGTAGCTCCTCTCTGCAGCTGGTCATCACGTTGTATCTTCAGCTCTCAGCCAAGAGGAAACCCTGGGGTCAGTAGCTCCTCTTCACCACTGGTAGTCCTGTCATGTCCCCAAGTCTGGCTGAGTCTGGGGTTTTTATGGGCTTCAGAGCAGAGGACGTGCATGCTGATTGGTCCATAGGCAGCCATGGGCAGGCCCAGAAAAAGCACCACAAGTTTCCACTCTGGTCCATGGGACCAGCAGCCTGGCCATCAGGCTTCAAGCTCTCCCCAGCTTGAAGGTGGAGCTTCACTGGAGACCTGTCCTCTTCTGCCCAGGAGCCTCTCTGCCTCTTGCCACAGTTCATGGCATGCCAGGCTGTTTGTGCCAAGGGGTGCCTGCAGACCAGCATCAAGCTGCCCTCAGCCCCCACCTCAGCCTCCCTCCTGTACTCATCAGTGCCCAAAATCCAGAGGGGGCCAACACAGCAGGGGTCTGCTGTGTCACAACCTGGCTGGGCTGTAACAGCATCCAGGCTTGACCCCAACCTTGTTCCAAGATCAGAGTGGGTGCCAGGAGCAGGGAGAGGCCAGGCAGTGGGAACAGACACCTCTGAGCCTGCAGGAACAGGGGGGCCTTCTTGGCCCCGGAGAGTGCAGAGATGCCTGGGTCTACAGCCGCAACTTGGGCAGCTGCAGCTGTGCCCAGGAGGGTGGGGCTCTTGCCTGCTCCCTGCAGAGACAAGAACTTAACTTTTCACTGTGACCTTTTGTAACCTGAATGTTTTGGCCTAGTTAAAAGATAATTATCTGTTTTAAATGTAGACAGACATAGTGACTCTGAAATCAAGACAGGTTAGTTAAGCCATCCCAATATGAAATTCATCTTGTGCCTGCATTTGGGGGAGTACATTCAAAAACAGGCTGTTCTTCATCACTGGAATCTCTCCTTGATATCATAATTTGTTTAAGTTGCTTTGTAAAGAGAGCCCAATCATGTAGAGACCTACTGAACTTGGTGGGCAGGGTAACAAATGAGAGAACGCTTGTCATATGTAAAGCTCCATGCCTTTAACTAGGTTAGAAAAAAATCTACTTTGTGGTTCAGAGGTGACAAATGCAATAAGTTTCTAATGTGGTTTCTACTGTGCAATCTTACTGCTCTCAAGATTTTTAGGTCTTTGGTCTGGGAGGATGGGGATGGGAGGATGGAATAATTAGATGATTCTCCACTCCAGAATATATGCTGCAACTTGGTGTATCCCAAAGGTCAGTGGGACACACATATCTCTGGGGGTACATAGGTGATTTTAGGTGCTCTTTGGTATTTCCCAAGTACGATCTGCCTTTCATGGTGACCCTTTTCATCTACTGCCCTTTAGGGGAAAAGGTTTGCCAGTTCTCGACAAGGCTGGCAGAGAGAAACATGCTTGCAGAACTGCTCAGAAAGCTGGCTTCTTCTGCTAATGGAGGCCTGGTGAGAAAAAACTGTCTCAACACCTCAATCAGGGTCGGAGGAGGGGTGACCTTCCCTGCCCCAGGGCCAGTTAGATGTGTGAGCCCTGGAGCTGATGGAGGGAGGGAGAAGGTACCATGCTACCTGCCTCCTCTGGGTCTGATGCTGCAAATG